GTCAACAGTTCTTAAGATAATACTATATCACCAGCTAAACTATATCACCACTAAATGGCATGGGGGGATAATTAACCATTTTATAGCAGGTTTAAGCTTGTCAGAATATGTTTGACTGATTTTAAAATCCAGTCAGGCAGACGCCATTTTGTTTACATGTCACATAGTCGGCAGCGATATTCCAAATAACATAAAATAATATTTTGTACATTTAACATGGCAGTAAGATAAAAACATTGCATGCTTCTCCCTCAGGTAATACGGTCTGATGTACGCCTCTTTGTAGCAGTGTTACCCTCGAGAGAAGCATACAACTTATAATATACATCTTATTATATGGATTATAAACCTCCAATGATGTCACTCTGTGGTCTCACTTGGTTCTACTTTTACTGAGTAAACTTCTACAGGCAGTTTCATGGGCATTCTCCAACAAATCCTGTGGATTTCCTACAGAATTGCCCGCATCCCAGGGATTTTCTGAGGAATAGCCCTTGACTGCGAATTATTAGTTGTTTTAAAGATTGACATAACTTTGTCTTGCTATCACTGAATATGATCGTAAAATATCAGATTATTGAAAACTTCCAATATATAGTGCCGATCCTTGGTTTCGAACCTGCAACTCTTTGCTTACTAGCTTGGCAGTTTTATCCACTAGGCTATGAAGGATCGCTGTGAAGGATGAGACTGTTTGTCAGTATGAACCATGTGTTCCTCACAACACGGGTCGTGCAGGCAGTGCACGAGTAGGACGCGGGTAGCGCATGCAAGGCAAGGTGTCGGTTGCCAGTCAAATCCCAGTTGATTTCAACAGTAAATACCAAATATTAGAATTATATCTAAAATATATCTTCAGTCGGTTCATAAGTTTTGATCCTTTACATAAAACATGTAGGTAACAATTTTATTCTGTAGAGAGAGCAAATTTATGATTACAGCAAACTGATATTTCACCTAAAACAGACCAAAGAATCAATATTTTCCTTTGTGAATAATGAAATTTGAAGCTAGTCACCAATAGCGTTTGACTCCCACAACTTACTGTGATATTCTCATTGTCACAACAGGAGACCTACAGATTACACAGCCTCCCTTGGTGTAAGTAACAACCAGTGGTGAATCAACTCTCACCACATCAACTGAATTGCTAGCACATCTACATTGCCACAAGTCTTTGTTTTCAAGCATCACAAGATCTCTTCTCATGGTATTGAGAAATACATCTCCATGATCTTTCTGCAGAGTTTTAAGAATGCAACACTTATCTCATGATTTCCAAATAATTCTGTGCAGTACCTATTGACAAAAATACCAAATATGTCCACAATTTCTGGTAGATGCTGAACTTTTTCAGTTTTAGAGTTCTTTAAAAATTTAAATAAATGCCTTAATCTTAAATTGTGAATGAAATGTACATGAAGAGTTGTTAAATGCAAACTGGTGGAAATGCACTGAAGAGTTAAGTTGTATGAGATGTTGGTATGCGAGACTGAAGACCTAGCATGTGTCTTTTTCATAGTTTTCTTGTGATGTAACTTTTAAAAATTCAGATAGTGATATGTATCTGTTTGAATTATTTAGACAAATATGCAATATATATTACACATTACATACTACCAAAAGCAAAGCTCATATCTCGGATACTGTGAAAATAATGCTTCATTACCATTACTACACCTGGGCATTTTAATGAATAAATGAATGTATGTTGAACCATGTGCCAAACACAGACATCATCAAGCTCGGCAGTGCTTATATACATCTCTCAATAATACATGGTTTCAAAATAAATCTCCATCAAAAAGGAAAAAATATTATTATTAGACGATCAAAAGTCAACCAACTGCTTTCCCAGTGGAAATAGCAAGATCACGCGAAATCTCATAGGTGACAGGTCACATTGTTCCATGCATAAAAACTATCCAGCAATACACCAAAAAGCTGTCATATAAACCATAGTTATGGTTATAAATATTTTACATTTGTAGAGCAAAACCTGCAACAAAAATGACACAATACTTGAATATATTTCTCTTTAAAAGGTAATGGTTTCAGATACTCTATTTTTAAGGTCATTGCATCAGAATTCATCTCAATATATTATCGGGTACGTTTCAACTAAATCACCGGTAGGGGAACGTGTGCACTGCACAACTGATTGCTATTTCCGGCGCTGTATACGGGACAATCACACAATGTAATCTTAATCCCTGCATATAATGCCTAGTAAAAACAACTTAAAATTGAATAGGTAAATAATCTTGTCTAGTGATGTTTAATTGCAAATTTGAGGTCTTCACTGACAAAGTCGTCTTCTCTTGTTTGTTCACGCGAAGCAATATGATGTTGTTTTCTTACATCCTGAAAAAAGTTTGACGAAAGTGTAACCTATAGATAAGCCGACCCCCTTCTACAGACTTATTTTTGGTCCTCAAAATTTGCCTTATCTACGGAAATATATGGTAATATATAATATTATTTCTAGCATGCCTCTGCTTCAGAGATAGAATTTCAGATATTTCACTCCAGGTTTTCAGGAGTAATACAAATCTTTGTCTCGATTTCTGCAAAAAATGTTACATTCACCTTAACATCAATTATTTATCAAATAAGCGGAAAACATGTTAAATACCAGTGACAGTAGATATCAGTAACCTTTTCTAAAATTCAGCACTTGCACATATTTCTAACAACTTTAATCTGTGTACTTTTACACAAACATATCCTCAATTTGTTCATTAGACATAACATCTTATGACAACATTATCAATCATGGTATGTAAATTAGGTACAAGATTGTCGATAGCTATTTCCAACCCGAGGCAATGTAGATTTGATACTGGAGCAGTAAGTTTTAACGGAGTCGTATCACCCACATTGGAGGTTCATAACTGGAGGCTCAACACTGTTGTTGTGGATGCCTTACACAATTCTTCCAGAATTATAATTTTTATGTATATTCAGAAACCCCTACATCCCAACACACCCTTGTCTCAAATATGCTAATGACATAACATTCCATAGGCCTAAACATTGGTACTAGCCTTTAAGCCCAAGTATCATGCTAAACGTATCCAAAGGCTAGTAGGATTATAATGGCTTTAGTGGATGTCCATGTATGTTGTTACTATTTACAATAGCAAATGTTTCAGGTGAACCTGCACCCTGCTGAATCCTAGTCTTTAAAAGATTTCATCTGGTAAACATTGTGAAATGAATGAATGTCAGTGACTTCTCAAATTTATTTCCAAGGGGCTTCAGGCTTTCCTCAGCAGAAACTCCTACCTATAACCATGGCAACTGGACAAACTATATAGCCAAAAGAATATAATTGACATCTTTGACATTTTTAAGCAGCTACAAATCATCCAAATGAAATGAGAAGAAATGAAAATGTAAAGATGTTTATCCACTTCAACATTTTCCATCCCACTTTAAACAATGACAATAATTACTGACACATTGTTTTAAGAGTGTATTTGTAAATTAAGAGTGTATCTGTAAAATTCATCTTGAACATCCATACAGCCATACATAAAAAGTATAAGACTGTTCAAAATGTCTGTACAAGGCAGCCTTTTATTCAGCTGGCACATACACAAAAACAGCCACAAAACGCATGTACTGTTTAGCAGAACCACTTGAACAAAGGGCCAAAGCTTGTGTTCTTGGGCATGATTCTTGTAACCTTTGACTAAAGATGACTAAGTATGCCTTGAGAAGTGTATTTATATGAGGGAAAGGTCTTAAGGTTTTCAGGAACATAGTAGTTCAGCCAGGAGCCTTCAAAGAAGCTCCAATAAACATAGAAAACTTGGGAGGTAATTGTTATTCCTTAATTGTAAACATCACAATCTTCACTGTAGTGATTCTGATGAAAACATCTTATTTTCACCAAGAAAATAGCCACACTGTGTCTCTTATTTATTACAAGAAATAGGTATACCAACAGTGCTAAATCTGAAGAAGCAAAATCAACTATTATGGACATCAACCATTATGGACAATTAAATCCTACCAAAGGTTACATTCTGATGCAATACAACACTCAGTTACCAGTAGCAATCAGCTACAGGTGTTGTGCACCGAATCATCTCCCGACATAGCCTGTAGTATATCATTTACTCACAAGAGTCATTAATGTATTCTGTTTGTTTTTATCATATATGTATGCAATACATTAAGCTTGCTTTGTTATTTTATTGAAAGCTTCCTGACATTACAAACCATTTTTCTCAAGGGAGCATCATGTCTCTTTATGCTCTATCAGGCCTAGAGCAATATAAAGGATCACATTCAAATTAGACAATTTTGTGATACATTATGAAATACTGAACAAAAAATGATCATCAATATTTATGGGGATATTTTTGTCAAAGAAGACTGAATTCATAATTGATAAAAATGTCCCAACAAAAATTCAAATCACAGTGTTTGTCTCGAGTGAAATATTTTTCAAGGTCCCAAAGCCTTTTTTATCATACCTTCAATCTCATACTTTCTATGCTTATGGGTTAACTGACATGGTATATCCCTCACAAAGGGGTGGTGGGGTAGCCCAGTGGTTAAAGCATTCGTATGTCACACTAAAGACCTGGGTTCGATTCCCCACAAGGGTACAATGTGTGAAGCCCATTTCTGGTATCCCCTGCCATGATAATGCTGGAATATCGAAAGTGGCATAAGCTCAACTCACTCACATTCCCTCATATATCTTATATAACTGCTGAAACATAACCCTCTCACTTTTGCACAAAGAATACCATTTACCTCCAAGAGAGCTACAATTTCTGTCTATGAAAGCTGCTATTAGCTTAAGCCTACATAATGACAGATTGATGGCTTAATGATCACCAGCTGTCATCTATGCTAGACACAGCCAAAAGCGCTAATTGCCAAGGCTTCAAGCCATGAAACACACACTCTGCTTGGAGTTCCAACTCCTTGAAACACATTATCTGCAGCCCGTTGAAAACTTGACACAGATCGCTACTCACCTACAGTTCGAACGTTGATGTAGTAAGTGTTGTTAAACTTTGGATCGTTAGCCTCGAAAGGATCACAAGCACCAGGTATGGAGCGATTGCATTCTAGCTGATAGCAGGTATTCTGATGGAAGAAGACAGAATCACAGGTTGCTTCGTTACAGCAACTCACGACACAGTCCAACACAGAAACAGCATTTATGTCCTTGGTGTAACGTCCAGCGTTTGATCCATTCTTGGGTTTGTTTCCTCTGTGGATGGCTTTTTTTGCGTCATCTTCACTGATGTTGGAACTGCAAATGTCTGCCGACACTCCTGAAGAAGAAAAGGAATTTCAGTGTCATATACAGTGTTCAGAGTTTCCAAATTTTGCTAGCCAGTTGGCTAGCTGTGCCTGAAAGTTACTAGCCCACAAAATAATTCAATAGCCCAAAATTTGAAGGTAGAAAATAAGCATAAGATTTAAAAAATATATGAGAATTGGATATTGTCGTCATGACACGGGTTTCATCATTAAGATGCTAATATGATGAACATTTTTATTAGGCCATAATCTTGCATGATTTAAAAGTGTATTATAACTTAACAAGTCGGAGAGAGTGATATATTTACAAAATGACCCCATGAAAATTCACTAGCCAGTCGTGACTGTGGAGATTTATTGGCCCAACTTGATTTTTACTAGCCACAGACTAGCGGGCCAGTGGTTATTTTGCACACTGGTCATATACACACAAACAAACCTACTTTGTAATAATTCACTAAGAAACTGTATTTCAGACACAAATTAAACAACTACTTCTATCTATTATATTTATTGTGCACTACTGTTATTCAGGTAACTCACTTCTGAAAAGTTTAATTTTCTATTGAATCTGTTATCATGATCATGGCACACTATTGTAATTCCTAATATACCTTTCCTGTTAAATATAACTTTGCATTGAAAATGGAATTTTCCACTACTACACACCATCATAATTCATCTAATCCACTACTGCACACTACCATAATTCATCTAATCCACTACTGCACACCATCATAATCCATCCAATCCACTACTGCACACCTTCATAATTCATCTAATCCACTACTACACACCATCATAATTCATCTAATCCACTATTGCACACCATTCATAATTCATCTAATCCACTACTGCACACCTTCATAATTTATCTAATCCACTACTACACACCATCATAATTCATCTAATCTTCTACTGCACACCATTCATAATTCATCTAATCTACTACTACACACCACCATAAGTCATCTAATCCACTACTGTACACCACCATAATTCATCCAATTCACTACTGCACACCATCATAATTCATCCAATCCACTATTGCACACCTTCATAATTCATCTTATTCACTACTACACACCATCATAATTCATCTAATCCACTACTGCACACGATTCATAATTCATCTAATCCACTACTACACTACTACACACCACAAGTCATCTAATCCACTACTGCACACCTTCATAATTCATCTAATCCACTACTACACACGATTCATAATTCATCTAATCCACTACTGCACACCATTCATAATTCATCTAATCCACTACTACACACCACCATAAGTCATCTAATCCACTACTGCACACTACCATAATTCATCTAATCCACTACTGCACACCACCATAATTCATCCAATTCACTACTGCACACCACCATAATTCATCTAATCCACTACTGCACACCACCATAATGCATCCAATACACTACTGCACACCACCATAATTCATCCAATTCACTACTGCACACCATCATAATTCATCTAATCCACTACCGCACACATCATAATTCATCCAATCCACTACCGCACACATCATAATTCATCCAATCCACTACTGCACACATCATAATTCATCCAATCCACTACTGCACACCATCATAATTCACCTAATCAAATGAAACCTTGAAATGTAACTAACTAAATTTTGTTTACAGTATTGCATACATGGTACTGAAACCTCCTGCTGTCACTCACCGTAGATGAAAGCACCGATGAGAAGCAGTATTATCTTCCGCTGGTGCTTATTGAAACATCGCTTCCCATTTCCCAACCAGCACCTGAACATACTGATTCTCCAGCTGGTGATGTCACTGGCTTGTGCTAGTCATTATGCCTGCTGTTTCCTCTCTTGCACTTCTTTACATTGTCACAATCACAACACGGCCCAACGAAACATGCTGAAACAACAAAACCCACAGTCAATTAAATTTCAAGGCTTCAGCTGTTTTAAACAATGCGAAATATATTTGTGTGGTTGTTTGAGGTTTAACAACTCACTCAGCTATATTCCAGTTATATGACGACAGTGTGTAAATAAACATAGAGAATTATCTGGGTTTCATCTTCTTTTATTGTCTAGTACAACGTTTCAGGGCTTGTTCTGGCCCCATCATCAGGTATAAACTAAAGAACAGTAACTGTTTACTCTGCCTGTGACGTCACAATGCTTAATAATTGAGTCTGGACCAAACAGTCCAGTGATTGACGTCATGAGCATCAATCTATGCATTAGGGATACGATGCCATGCATGAATTAAGTCAGAGAGCCTGACCAACTGATCCCGAAAGTCACTTCCTAGCAGTTTAAGACCAGTTCTAACCAAGATCTTCACAGGTCAAATATATTCACCCTTTCATCAAGTCCGTCAGCATGGTAATCATGGTAATGTTCATGTTTTAGACATTGTCTGTGACAATGCTACTAGTCTGAAACCTGAATCATGTTCAGCCTAAGTAAATTGAGATATCAACAAGAAGAATGGTCAATAAAATGGACTTTAATTATTGCTTTGGGATATACTACAGATTTTGACTGTTACGATGTTATAGACATCTAAAATTGAATTGGCAGAAATAAGTTGAATGAAAATGGCTGGCTCAAGCAATTTCCCCAAGCAAAATCTCCCTTTAATGCCCTATATTACGATTTACCAAGAAAATTGCTGTTAAATACTCCCGACTCAAACCATCTGACCCAAGTCTCATACCCCCAAAGTGATCTTATCTGTTATCATAACTGCCTATATACCCTCACATTTCTGAAGTGTTAAGATCATCTAAGCTTTGGATAGCTGCAGCACTAAGTTCCTCTTGTCACGGGTAGTCACTGAGGCCGGCTCAATCAATGGTAGATACAACCAACAATATTTGTATTGCATGTTTTGAGTAGCATTTTATGAAGCAAGTTACATATGCTTATCCATTTGTCTCATGTTTTATATCAGTACCAAGACAGGAAATACCTACGAATTGAATGCCATGCCTTACTGAGCACAATGTAATTTACATGTTTAGAGTGAGTGAGTGAGTATGGTTTTACATCGCCTTTAGCAATATTCCAGCAATATCACCATGGGGGACACAAGTAATAGGCTTCACACATTGTAACCATGTGGGGAAATAGGTCTTTGGCGTGACGAGTGAATGCTTTAACCACTGGGCTACCCACTGAGCCATATGTGTAGAAGGTTATTAAATGATAACATAAATATAAGGGATCAAACTGAAAGATGTCTTGGTCTATTTAGTGCAACATGCACACATGCATCCAAGTACACATACATACACTGACTGACTGACTGAGTTTGGTTTTACGCCGCTTTTAGCAATATTACAGCAATATCACGGCGGGGGACACCAGAAATGGGCTTCACTCATTGTACCCATGTGGGGATTCGAACCCGGGTCTTCGGCGTGACGAGCCAACGCTTTAACCACTAGACTACCCCACCGCCCCCACATACATACACATGTCAGGGGTGGAAGTATCTTAAAAATTGCTAGTGTACTCCGGTAGAGTGGCACATGTAAAATCACTTGCCCTGATAATTTTTCCACTATACCGGCCTTTTCTTGTTGATTTTTTAAATAAACAACATAATTAACGTTGGAAAGTCAACTGGACACCGGTACAGTGTGATATACAAATTTGCTTGCCCAACAGAAAAAAAACACTGGACTCGGACGTCGGGCAGTGGGTTTATTTCCACCCCTGCATGTATTAGATATATTTACATTGACACATATCTACATATGTATATTATTGAGTAACACGTCCATCTAGACAATACATGTTATAACTAGGGTTATAACTAGAGCCAACGCTTTAACCACTAGGCTACCCCACAGCCCCTAGTGGTCTTGTAAATGATTAACACTGGCAGAAGAAAATAAATGGTTGATAGTATGAGCATCATCTCTTTTATCTGTCTGTACCATCAGCTTAACTGCCCTGAGGTGCCTGCAGTTCTCCAACCATCAGCGCCAAGCCAGTCCCCCCATGATATGCTACATGGCTACTGTTAACTGCAAGGAAGGGAAAGGGTCCCTCTATCCAGTTATCCTGTGACTAGCACTATATTGAGAACATTTATGGAAATCATTGTAAATAAATTATATGCAAAATGAACAACATATATTTTGAGCTACAATAAATATCATAAATGCTTAGCAAGTATATGTCCTTCATTTCCCCCCATTCCTCCATGAGATTTTTCTAAAATCAAATATTCTTCATAAATGTAGTAAATTATGAAAACAACGCAAAACCCAATTAATGTGCAGACCCCTGGCCTTAAATATGTGAAAAGATATTCAGGTTATTGGGAGTAGTCGTGCCTTTAAAATATAACCAGTAAACTATAACACCAAGACTGTGGACTTACACCATTACACCATTTAGCCTTGTCCGATCGAAATTTGAATGAATACCGGGTAGTACCACTTGGTATCTTCACAAACTGGTAATCTAACTTCCATGGAATAATATGAAAACTTAAAAACAGTGCATGATCAAATGAGATTGTAAAGGGGCAAAGTGTTGATGAAATGCTCACTTTGTAGCCATTTATTGTAAGACAATTGGTCAAAACTCCTGCAGCCATCTTGTACAAATTGTTTATGATATGCTAGAATTCTAGAGACTGTAGTGTAGAGTCCATGTTGCAACCACATGACCCATACCAAGTTTGAAATCAGCAGAAACAAACTCATTGATTTTTAAAAAATGGTCAAGATGCCTATCAACAGAGATGTTTTAGACATAAAACCATGTATAAGTATTTTGTGAGTGCTGACGAACTTAAGTTTTGAAAATAAAACAAATATAATCAACTGAATTGTTTAGGTTTTTGGTTTCACAGTTTATTCCTGTCATTTGATTAGTAAACCTTCAGATAATTACAAAAAGATTTGGAATTAATTCTACATTTCTTATCAAACAAAGGGAGAGGAGTGGATACTATTTTTAAATTGTACAACATACAAATTTAAATTTACTTTGCATCTAAACTTGTATTATTCTTACACTGTTACAATTACTTCAAAATGATACTAAAATGACTAATCCCCAGGCTCATAACTAAGTATTGAATTAATTTTCAGTTAATCTTAGCTTTGGGTGTGTTTGCGAGCCCAGCAAGAGCCATCTGGTAACAGCTGCCTATATCACCAACTGGTCTGTACCTGGCTGTGAAATGCAGTTCTGTTCACTTGAAAAAAAACCCAGCTTGTTCATTCACTTTTCAGCACACCTGTGACCATGTTTCATGTACTGAGTGAGTGAGGGAGTGTGTTTTATGCCACTTTTAGCAATATTCCAGCACTATCACGACAGGGTACACCCGAAATGGACTTCACACATTGTACCCATGTGGGGAATCGAACCCGGGTCTTTGGTGTGAGGAGTGAACGCTTTAACCACTAGACTAACCCACCAATATCCACGCCCTGTTTCATGTACTAAATAAATGAGAAACATATAGATTGAGTGTAGAGTGAGTTTAGTTTTATGCCGCACTCAGCAATATTCCAGTTATATGGCGGTGGTCTGTAAATGATCGAGCCTGGACCAGACAATCCAGTGATCAGCAGCATGAGCATCGATCTGCGCAACTGGGAACCGATGACATGTCAACCAAGCCAGCGAGCCTGACCACCCAATCCCGTTAGTCGCCTCGTGTCATATAGATTGATTGAGATCAGCTTCAATAATAGATCACTTTTTTTTTTTTCACAAAGATTGGTGGACTCAATGAACATCTGTTGGTCAAAATGGGTACTGAACCCTGATCACTGGTTTGAGGCTTGCCATAGTGAGTGAGTGAGTGAAGTGAGTGGAGTGAGGACTGGAGTGAAAGCTCTGCCTGATCAAGATCTCATGAACATGGCAAAATGGGACTGAACCTAAGATGAATCTGTGGTGACTAAGATGACTGGGCCACCCATTCTCTGAATTAAGAATGAAAGTCAAAGGGTCCTTGTCATAACCCTAACATTTGCAGGTTCAGCAAAGATTCACCTTATGACAAGTGCATCCTGAAGCTGTCAAGGACAGGCTACAGCTGCTGCAGAGAGCCATGATTGTTCAACACTGCAGAAATTAATGTGAATATATTGACAAATATATCTCAAAATCATTTCATTGAATCTTGTTTCATTACATCATATAAACCTATATTAAGCATATCCAGTCCAAGGTTGTGCAAAGGTACCTTTTGATGATCATTAAGATTATCAGCCAATTTCTTTCACGAAATGATGTCTGGCTCAAATAACTAGGCATAATGAAGCAAGAAAAGCATTTAAATTACAATGATACATATCTAAATCCCTAAATATATATCTGATCTAAATCTGGTTGATATGCATGCTAATATCAGATTTATTCTACCCGGTTGAATCAGTAATGATAATATCACACTATCAGGAACACTGTAAAATACACTCATACACTGCTTTCTCCAATATATTACAGGCAAACCTTTAACAAAAGTAATAGAAAAATCAATTACACCGATTCAGTGAGTACAATGACAGTTTCATTAACTAAATGAGGTTGATGTCTGGATCTCCCTCAACATGACGACATTATCTTGATTTGATACAGCTCCAGCAACACATGTATTCACATGATGTACACAATTAGCGTGTCTATTGGTGAGTGAGTGAGTGAGTTGGGTTCTATGACACTTTTCTGTGCAACACCATAAATGGGCTTCAAACAATGTAGCATTGATGAGAATCAAACCAGGTCTTCCGTGAGACAAGTGAATGCTTTAACCACTAGGCTACCCCACCACACTCTCGTAGTGCATTATTCCATTCAATATACATTAGACAAGTCAGAACTCATGCTAGTTTCATATGGCTAATACAGATACTGTTATGTGAGTGTATTTGATAGTTACTAACAGTCTGTGCTTCAGTAAGAATATTACATAATTTACAAGGTGACGAATAATAACCATGTTATACAGTCGAGCACTGTTGTCTCGATATTCATGGGACCAAGAACAAATATCGAGTTATCCGAAATTCGAGACATCCGACCAGGGCATACCATCACATATCACTATGACAGACAACAAAACGCTTCAAAGTATGTTTTGATTCGAAACTATAATCCGTTATCAGTAGTGTTTAATTAATCCTAATTACCGGTAAATAACAAACAAGTGACACCTTCAACTCAATTAGCCCTAATTAGTTTACATGTGTGGAAACAACCTCAGTTCAAAGGGATACTTGCCCATGAAAGGTAGGTGAACATAGAGTTTCTTTGCAAATATCGAGTTAAAAGGGTAATTTTGCTTGTTGGGACCATGAAATCATATCAAGATATCCGAAATATCGAGACATCCGCATCGAGTTAAAAGAGCTTGAATAATGATAAATTATGAAGGATTTTGCTGGGGCCAAGATGTTATATCGAGACAACCGAGATATCGATTATCAGAGTTCATTTTAATTCTAGGTAATTCTTATCCATACCGTGAAGTGTGACATATTGTAATGCATATACAAATGATATAAACAAGTACATACCTATGGCTATTAGAGGTGAGGTGAGGTGAAATTGGGTTTAATGTCGTGATTGAGAATATTTCGCTGATATGACGACGTGCATGCGTGTGTATGTGTAGGTGCGGCTGCTTGTACTAGCCCAGACTTAAGCTGGTTTTATAGTACTAGCCCACTGAGATACCACGCTGCAGTAAAGCATGAATACCCCACTCAGACACATTATACTGACTCCTAGCCGACCAGTCCTTGTTGTACCCAATAATGCCGAACGCCAGGCAGGGACCAACAAGTACCATATTTTAACGTCTTTTGGTATGATGCGGTCGGGGGGCTATTAGAGACTTAAATGATATTCATGGTTTGATGCATCAAGGGGTGTTACAATATCTTGATATGAGGCAGCTAATAGAAAGCGAAAATGTAATCAAGAACTATGGACTAATGAAGACCAACAAAAAAAAAGAAGAACAATATAATGTCTTCATAACTTTCATTCTATGACACAAACTGGAACAGTGTCATCCATAATTCAGGCTGTGACCTGTATGTTTATGTGACTTATCATGAACTGTATTGTGAATTTAACATTACAATATTGAATAGTATTTTTTTCCCTCTTTTTTTCCACCTGCCCCAATCTGGGAACAGTCAGGCGATGAGAAACACAGAATTAAATACGGACGCCCTTATGATTGATACATATGGTATTTGACAAGATGTATTGCAACAGACATTGCGTAACATAGGGTGATGATAATGCACCATGTTTCATAATATAAATTTTATCCTTTCTCATGCTGCTGTTGGCTTGAACTGAGGCAATGTTTGAAATTTAGGATTAACGCTTGCGGGTGGTTTTGTTTACATAATTCTAATGTTTTGAATTAATTTTTATTTTAGATCCATAAGTTTGTCAATAGTGCCCCCCATTCGTATTGAAGTGACTCCTACCATGACTACAATAGATAAATCCTGTTGATATGTATGTCAAAAAATGTTTAGTATTTAAATATTAAGTTTACTGAGTGTAGTTTGGAAGATAAATGTTAAATGTATACTCACCAAATGCATTGGGAATCACGGTAAAGACAATAAAGTTTGCCCATTGCAATTCCAACAATCTGAGAGGCTGGTGGTTTTTCAATGAAATTTAATACATTTTAAACTCAATTCTTAATTTTTCTTGTGGTGAAACATATTTTTTCAATTGGCGGTGTACAATTGAGAATGGTCAGCTCAAAGTTTAGAAATAAGTTTGTTTATTGTATGGGCTGGTGGGATTTTTATGGGCAGCAGGAGATGAGAAACACAGAATTAAATACGGAGGCCCTAACAAAGGTATTGTGAAATAAAACCCTTTTTTCAATGACTTACTGAACATATGTATGTAGTGTAAAGAACAACAACAGAAAGAAACACTAAGTGTATATCCTGGTAAAAATCAACAAAACCGCAAACATCCAGTAAGTACATCAAAACATCTTGAAAATGTGCAGAATATAAAGAGCATCCTTTCCCAGACCCTCATGATTGCTGCATTACATACATTTGTGTACATTTGTATATACAATACACACTGCCATTACATAACACAAGAATACTGGCAATGCGTATCAGTATTTCTCATCTTGCTTATCACCATGGTGTTTTCCTAGTACTTCTATTAATTATACAAGTTTCTGTATCCATGGAGGTGTTTCCTTTGGATTAAAATGCATACAGTAGCTCTACCAATAAAAGATGCATAAGCAGATCATTATTCAGCAATCATGTCAATATGCTTGCTATTTTCCATGCCTGACACTGAACTTCAAGAACATTATATCAATAGGTATATGTTCATATGCTGAACAAGCAGAAAACATGTGGCTAAGATAAAAACATTGCCATTATATTACTTTCTGTATTGAAGAAGGTATTAATAAAAACACCCTGCAAGACCAGAAAATAACTATTGTGAATGTGCAAATGTGCCATTGTGTTTATATGATATGTATAGGTCAATTGTTTGTATATGACATCATAAAAGTCTATCACCATAACAGAATATACAAGTTCAACGATCACTGATAACACTGAATTGATAACAGCTGATAGCATGCAAATAGGGTGTGCATCAACTGAAATCAGGGATATGATTACAAACTGTCAACATTGCTTGTGATCCTCATTGCTCATGACCATATGTTACTGACGATCTTTTCAAATTATGTAAAAAATAAATATCAAAATAATGGACCAAAAAAAGTAGAAGACTTACACAGGAGAGTCTGTGACAACCAATTAAGTGAGCTGTCATATAAGAAATACGCCGTTCTGGTGCTATATGCTACTGTAAACAACACACTCTTCTGATTACTAATAAGCGAATGTTACCATAACCTGCTGAGGTTGACTGCCGGGTGTTATGGGCCGATACCACGGTGTTTTCCACTGCGGGTAAAATATTTATCAATAAGAAAGAATTGCAACAACATCGGCCAGTCTGAAGCAGAGGTGTATAGACATGTCTTCGTCTACGACTGAATGCGCACGCGGCTCTTACGGCATCGTAAAGTTCCAGATGTGACCTACCTTAACACTACCTGCTTATTTTCATATACACTTCTGCGAAGAACGTCACCACTTTATGTTGTCAAGAACAGGATACTATTTTGGCCAATCAAAACAAAGATTGACAATTTCTGCTCTATGATAATGGCAGCTTCCACTAGAAACGTGGATGTGTGTAAACAATCATCTTTGGTCGGCCAACTTGAAGTACATAGGGACTAAAATGTCTTCAACAATAGTCCAATATGTTGTTGTAAGGGGTGACTTGATCAGTGCATTGAAATGGCCAACTGGGGCACTAATAGCACAAGCATGCCATGCTTGCACTGCTGCTATACACACGTTTTACCAGGACGAAGAGACTCAACAGTATTTAGCCGATCTTGATCGTATGCATAAAGTCATTCTAGAGGTAAATTACATTCTGTCTAAAACCAGATATTACATTTTTTACAGATTAGAATGTAAGCCTTTCCAACAATACCATTATAAAGCTGTATATCATCTGAGAGCGAGACCAACATCTGACAGGTCTCAGTAGTCAGTTGTGTAATGGGATTAGTAAGTTATGGTCAATATTTATTCAAACAAAGCATGGATTACGGCTATTTTGAATGAGGCTTACTGGGCATTTTACAGCCTGGGATGTAAACCTTTATAACCATGATTATGTTGAATACGTGTGAAAGTGAGACCAACATCTCACAGGTATCAGTTGTGTAATATAGTCAATATTTTCCCAAAGCTACCGTGGATACGGATGTTTTGAAAAGCCATTTTAAGTTTGTGTGGAAATCAGGCACAGGGGTAGCCCAGACAGAGGCGATGCAGTTCGCTGTACAGAGTTGGGTCCATTGGACATGCCAGGAACCTGTGATTGAAGGTTTCAATCACAGTTATGTTTCAAGGTTTATCAGTATCCCAGTTTCACCTGTTTTCGGCGATGTAATAACTATTCCTGGTGCACATAACCATGCTATCGTAATAAAATGTTGATATATTTCATCAAGACAAATTTGTGTCTTCAAGTCACTTGACATACTAAATTAAAATGTCAGTTCAACAATTTCAAACACAGATAACGATGAATTGAAATCCAAACAGGTTATGTACACTGTTGATGATAGCTCATGAATGTCATTCACTCTTCCACTGGGCTTTGGTCACAGTGGGGACTGAGAAATACCGCATGTGTACGAACAACTGTGAGACTGGTACAAAAGACAAGGTGAACCCAGTGACCACATTTGTCAAACTGTGCCCATTTCACGTACGTGATTGAGTCACTACGATGCAATGCATCGGGTGTAAGTTTTCTTCCACCCCAAGATTCCAAGAATGTCCAGTCCTTTCATCCCATATTAGCTGACACTCTGTGATCCAATTCACTCAGTGCAAAAAGTACATTTGATTCAGAAGTGTTTTGTGGCTTACCAATCCAGTTTACATGTTAGGTCTATCTATATATACACTTCTGTAATGATGATAAAAACATCATTATATACCAAAACCTACAACCAATTGATTACCAGTTCTGTATTCACTGTTAACAAGGTAACAGCCATACAGACATATGTTTGATGTTTATTTGATCTGGAATTAATATATCATTTGATGATATTTACCATAGAGATGTATATTTGTTGCTTATTTGATCTTGATTAAAAATATCATTTGATGGTATTTATCATGTTTACAAAGCTTTAAATCTAAACTAGAATGTTCTGATACATATTCTCAAATTGGTATTGGTAACAACAGTATGACAAATACCAAGCTTGGTTATAAATGAACCCTGAGATCTGGTGCTGATTTCCTGTTTGTTCCTGTCCAGACCTAAACATTCAAAAAAGATTACATCGATAGAAAAAGTGTAAATTATGTCATGTGCCAGAGTGGATGATCATTAACAGAACTATGAATCTACTGTGAATATGTTTACTAATATACTGGGTTGTGAATAAACAATTTGGTAGGATTGAGCTTTAATAGTTGATACTGCACTCATGAGCATTCCAGCAATATAACAGCACCCTTTATAAGCATATTGCATTACTCAGTCTTGTCTTTCTAACCCAGTGAAGTTTGTTATATGTTGCACTATGACCACGACATGTCTGATACAGGGGAGATAACCCGGGTAGTTGCTCTATCTGAATATTGAAAGATACTCTGATGTCAGCTCCAGTTGAACAGTGATGCATCAAGCTAATGTTTATGGTAATCGATTTATCTGATGTGATGCTACTAAAAATATGGTTGGACTTTCTTCTTTTTTCAGGCTAAAAATGAAGAGAGTCTTCGAGAATTATCACAGAGTTTGACACAAGACGGAATCCAGCACAAACTGTGGATTGAGCAGCCAGAAGACATTGCAACATGTGTGGCAGCCAAACCCTACACAAAACAGGATGTGCAAAAATACTTCAAGAAATTCAAATTGTTCAAATAGTGCATAACAATACTTCAAGTTATAAACTAATGTAATATTACAATCTCCGTGATATTTGTTGCTTGCATCAAGACTCAAGGTATTTAATTGTCAAAGTGAGGTGTAAGCAAGGTGTTGTATAAATGGTTGGGGACAGGATCATCTTGGTGACACCATGGATTATTCTTCACAGGGAAAGAGTTTTATTTGTGTCATCATTTTAAAATAAATTGAACAGGCATTTGCAGAATGCCAGAGAACCTTTTTCTCATGTGTATGTTTCTTTGCAAATTGTCTCCCAAACATGTATGTGAAGAAATTGTTGTTCCCACATGACTGTGATTAGGTGATGAAGAAAATGAAGAATGGAGTGTGATAAATCATTTGATAATGTGAGCAGCGGCTCCCTTGGGTTATTTAATACATTATGACCACAATGAATTCCTTGTCCAGTGTTCAAAATAGCCACTGGCCTACTAGCCCATGGCTAGTAAAAATCCAGTCAGGCCAGTAAATCTCCACAGTCACTATCCCGACTGGCTAGTGAATTTTCATGGGCTCATTTTGTAAACATATGACTCTCTCCTACTTGTTAAGTTGTAACACACTGTTAAATCATGCAAGATTATGGCCTGATGAAAATGTTCATCATATTAGCAGCTTAATGATGAAACCTGTGTCTACATTCAAATTTCAGACTAGTGAATTATTTTGTTGGCTAGTAACTTTCAGGCATAGCAAGCCTGACTGGCTAGCAAAATTTTGAAACTATTTCGCACACTGCCTTGTCCATGATCATTTTTGTGACAAGGGTTGCCCAGTTTCTAAGGTGCTGCAGATGGCTATGCTGAGTTGCAGCCATTGACCACACCAAAATATAGGTTTGTCAGCACCATACTGTTCTTGAAGGTTCCACAATGTGGTAAAGGTCCAAGATTGTGTGCTTTCCTCCACTGATGAAAAATAGTGATACTGTGACACACTGTGATAGAACTGGAATACTGTTAAAAGTAGTCTTTAAATTGAACCCAACTCTCTCCATGGTAATTATGTTAAATAAGATCACAGGGTTAGCAAAACTTGAGGGGCAGTGGGGTAGCCTACTGGTTAAAGCGTTCACTCGTCAATCCGAAGACCCGGGTTTAATTCCCCACATGGGTACAATGTGTGAAGCCCATTTCTGGTGTCCCCCGCTGTGATATTGCTGGAATATTGCTAAAAGTGGTGTAAAACTAAACTCACACATTAGCAAAACATGATTTACTGTGTTCTATGTAAGTAGCATTCCTTTAACAGAAAGGTTGTACAGGACAAATTATAAATTTTTATTGCAGAGATTTGTTCAAAACAATATCTATAATGTCTGCATATAGGATACAGTAAGTTAGCTTTCCTGGTGTGACTGTAGCTGATGAAGTCACAATATCTATAATGTCTGCATATAGGATACAGTAAGTTAGCTTTCCTGGTGTGACTGTAGCTGATGAAGTCACAATATCTATAATGTCTGCATATAGGATACAGTAAGTTAGCTTTCCTGGTGTGACTGTAGCTGATGAAGTCACAATATCTATAATGTCTGCATATAGGATACAGTAAGTTAGCTTTCCTGGTGTGACTGTAGCTGATGAAGTCACAATATCTATAATGTCTGCATATAGGATACAGTAAGTTAGTTAGCTTTCCTGGTGTGACTGTAGCTGATGAAGTCACAATATCTATAATGTCTGCATATAGGATACAGTAAGTTAGCTTTCCTGGTGTGACTGTAGCTGATGAAGTCACAATATCTATAATGTCTGCATATAGGATACAGTAAGTTAGCTTTCCTGGTGTGACTGTAGCTGATGAAGTCACAATATCTATAATGTCTGCATATAGGATACAGTAAGTTAGCTTTCCTGGTGTGACTGTAGCTGATGAAGTCACAATATCTATAATGTCTGCATATAGGATACAGTAAGTTAGCTTTCCTGGTGTGACTGTAGCTGATGAAGTCACTGCAGATCTTATCACACATTTGTTTTCAGTTATTTCCATGTTTCTTTGTAGAATCATACATATTTTATACACAATCTGTCAATAATCCAACCCATAAATTCTGTGAATAGTCAGCAGATTTTGCAAGATTCTTCAGCTCAGTTTTTAATATTCTATCAGAATTTCTGTAAGTGAGGGGAATGCACATGCCCGGCCAAAGAAAACGAATGTTTCTGTTGAAAGCCTCTTAAGATTGACAAATGTACAGGTGACAAATGTATATTGAAGGATACCTTTTTGCCTTTATCATAGCATATAACCTTGAAATCTTGTGCAGCTGATTACTCAGGTAATTATTCAAACTGAATAGGTTTTCAAACAAGAGCACACTTCGGTTGTCAGCAGATGGGTCATGGATGTGAAAATTGCTTGGTCACTTGGCCTTCTTATGACAATACAAGTCTCATGTTTGTAAAGATTTTAACTCACTCACTCTCTTGTTTGCATTTGGGTCATCGAAACCCCTTCTGATGACTGTAGTCCCCGCACCACCATCCGCTAACACATTGTCTTCTGGT